AGATAGATAAAGAAAGTACTGGGAGAGCTCTTTTCTATATACACAGAATTATGGAGAAACAATAGACAGAAACAAACCAGAAATGTTCAGAAAAAATCTGAATTTCTGCTGAAATGGTGTATGTCCCATGTCATCCTGCCCTCACGCATGGTCCAGGTGCCGGAACCAGCAGAAGAAGCACAGGTTCAGCAGGCCAGGGTAATTGGAGCAGAGGTCAAGAAAATGGTGTCAGTAGCATTTACTCAGCATTCTGAGGCTGGTCAGCCCTCAAAGGATGCAAATCTTGTGGATCAGCCGACGGCGGAGGAACTCACTAGTTTTTTTTTGAATATTTAGAAGCTGGGTCCATTCAGTGAAAACCAAACCATGCGGCTGTTGAGAACTGGGAGAGCCATTTTCTTTGTACATAGAGTCGAGTGTTGTATGTCCCATGTCATCCTACCCTCACACATGGTCCACGTGCAGGAGTCAGCGGAAGAAGCACAGGTTGAGCAGGCCACTCCACAGGCATGGGGAGAGTTAAACAATGCACTTCACTCACTTTTATTGTACTTAGAGGTTTGCAGAAACCATGTCAAGTATCACAAGTAAAAATCATAATGCTGGCTCCCTACCCAGACATGTCCTTCATTTCTGATGCAGTGGTCTATATCCCATGTCATCCTACCCTCACAAATGGTCCAGGTGCCGGAGGCAGCGGAAGAAGCGCAGGTTGAGCAGGCCAGGGAAGAGCTACCGATACACAGTGGGGGCAGTGCTTTTGAAGCTGGAGCCATTTTTTCACTGAATATATTATATATATATATGTATACATGTTCTTCGCTTCTGCTGGAGTGTGGTATATATATGTCCCATGTCATCCTACCCTCACACATGGTGCACACTCAGGAGCTAGCAACGGCAGTGCACACGACAGGGATTCAGGAGGCGGGCGCCAATCAATTACTTGCAGCAGAAAATGTGCAAGTTGTTTGGTCATAGAATCTAGAGGCACAGCGCCAACAAGAATCTACAAGAGCACGGAGGCGTCTTCCTGCAAGCTTCCAGAAGGTGAGGCTGCGTTTGCCACAACACAAGAAGTCTATATACAGTATATATGTTTATATTTCATAAATTACATTATATAGATAGATAGGTAGCTAGATAGAGAGATAGATAAAGAAAGTACTGGGAGAGCTCTTTTCTATATATACACATAGAATCATGGAGAAACAATAGACAGAAACAATCCAGGAATGTTCAGAACAAATCTGAATTTCTGCTGAAATGGTGTATGTCCCATGTCATCCTGCCCTCACGCATGGTCCAGGTGCCGGAACCAGCAGAAGAAGCACAGGTTCAGCAGGCCAGGGTAATTGGAGCAGAGGTCAAGAAAATGGTGTCAGTAGCATTTACTCAGCATTCTGAGGCTGGTCAGCCCTCAAAGGATGCAAATCTTGTGGATCAGCCGACGGCGGAGGAACTCACTAGCTCTTTTTTGAAGATTTAGAAGCTGGGTCCATTCAGTGAAAACCAAACCATGCGGCTGTTGAGAACTGGGAGGGCCATTTTCTTTGTACATAGAGTCGAGTGTTGTATGTCCCATGTCATCCTACCCTCACACATGGTCCACGTGCAGGAGTCAGCGGAAGAAGCACAGGTTGAGCAGGCCACTCCACAGGCATGGGGAGAGTTAAACAATACACTTCACTCACTTTTATTGTACTTAGAGGTTTGCAGAAACCATGTCAAGTATCACAAGTAAAAATCATAATGCTGGCTCCCTACCCAGTTATGTTCTTCATTTCTGATGCAGTGGTCTATATCCCATGTCATCCTACCCTCACAAATGGTCCAGGTGCCGGAGGCAGCGGAAGAAGCGCAGGTTGAGCAGGCCAGGGAAGAGCTACCAATACAAAGTGGGGGAGCAGTTTAGATTGATCCAAAACAGAGCGCATCATGCTTACAATGGAGGGCCAAGTTGGTGGAGCTGTCCCATGTCATGTGTTGGAGAGAGTTTCTGAGGCCAAAGAGATCAAGCAGGCGGACCCAGGTATGAACTTTGAGGCCGTGACAGTTAAGGAGGAGCTTGAGGAAGAGCAGGATTGGTGCTTCAGTCAGTGCTGGCGGCCCCCTACCAAGTATATAAATCATTTCTGCAAGTTGTTTGAGGATATGTTTATGTACGCCATGGGACTCAAACACACACAAATGAAATTCCTCTGTTCTTGCAACTTCTCCAGGAGACTTTCTCCAGAGTGCAGGAGACTTTCTCCAAACGGCATCGGGTTCCCGATTATGACAAGGCATTTGGTATCCTGCTTTGGCAAAGAATCTCAACGGCGCCCTCCCCTGAGCCGGCATCCGATGAAGAGTTCATGAACGCCGCCGCCGCCACCACCAATGTGCTCACGCAGGAATTACAAGCGGTACCGGAAATCATGTGAAATCATTTGAGCAGGTTGTCTGAAGATATCTCTACATATACACAGTCACAAAACGTAGAGCATTTTTTGGCTTGTGTACATAGTGCTGGAGTGTTGTATGTCCCATGTCATCCTGCCCTCGCATATGGTCCACGTGTAGGAGCCAGCGGAAGCAGTGCAGACTCAGAAGGCATGGGGAGAGCTAAACAATACACACCACTCACTGTACATAGAGGTTTGGAGAAACAATGAAAAGCAACACAAGTAACAAACATAATGCTGGCTCCCTGCCCAGACATGCCTTTCATTTCTGCTGGGGTGGTCTATGTCCCATGTCATCCTACCATCACACATGGTCCAGGCGCCGGAACCACTGGAAGGAGCACAGGTTCAGCAGGCCAGGGTGGGTGGAGCAAAGGGCAAGAAAAAATGGTGTCAGTAGCATTTACTCAGCATTCTGAGGCTGGTCATCCCTCAAAGCATGCAAATCTTGTGGATGAGCCGATGGTGGAGGAACTAGTTCTTTTTGAAGAGATTGAAGCTGAGTCCATTCAGTGAAAACATGTGAAAACAAAACCATGCAGCTGTTGAGAACTGGGATGGCCATTTTCTTTGTACATAGAGTCGTGAAGATGTTAAAATTTTGCTGGAGTGTTGTATGTCCCATGTCATCCTACCCTCACACATGGTCCACGTGCAGGAGTCAGCGGAAGAAGCACAGGTTGAGCAGGCCACTCCACAGGCATGGGGAGAGTTAAACAATACACTTCACTCACTTTTATTGTACTTAGAGGTTTGCAGAAATCATGTCAAGTATCACAAGTAAAAATCATAATGCAGTTATGTTCTTCATTTCTGATGCAGTGGTCTATATCCCATGTCATCCTACCCTCACAAATGGTCCAGGTGCCGGAGGCAGCGGAAGAAGCGCAGGTTGAGCAGGCCAGCGAAAGCTACCAATACAAAGTGGGGGGAGCAGTTTAGATTGATCCAAAACAGAGCGCATCATGCTTACAATGGAAGGCCAAGTTGGTGGAGCTGTCCCATGTCATGCGTTGGAGAGAGAGTTTCTGAGGCCAAAGAGATCAAGCAGGCGGACCCAGGTATGGACTTTGAGGCCGTGACAGTTAAGGAGGAGCTTGAGGAGCAGGATTGGTGCTTCAGTGCTTTCTGTTCCTTTTCTGATCAGGAGTCATGTTTGATTTTTGGCCCACACACACAGAGACAGCCTGACAAACAGAGCGTGTGGTGAATTGGAGGACAATTGGACTTCGGAGCCCTCAGCAGTGGACTATCAGCCGCCGGGCATTGGCTTTGTCAATGGGCAACCGTACCCATCTACATGGCCCAAGAACAGAAAGCGAGACAGAATACTCAAAGAGAGCCAACACCAGAATTTGAAAGAGGCCTTTTGTTGGCCAATCATTCTTCGAGATGAGATAGCAGCTCATATTGAATCTTTCAGTGAAGAAACCAAACCCCTGGCAGCTTCCCGGCGCAAGCTGCAAGTCAGCTCTCACTGGAGCGGAGTCTGCACTCAGTCTCGTGCAGCATCTATTCTTCAAGCCAACCATGTGGGGAATTGTACGTTTGAGCACGTGCAAAGCTGAGTAATTCATGTCTTGAATGTTGATCCTATGAATCCCTATCATATTGTGAGCGGGCTGTCCCATGTCATGTGTGCCTAGGTGAGCTTCATTGAAAGAACAAAGCAGGGAAGGTCTACACTTCAGCGGGACTTTCCACAAGCTTGTATCTTCCAGGATGTTTGTCATGTACTACCGCCAGAGTTGCAAAGGGATCTGACTAAACTCCAAGGCCAGCAGCAAATTGAGTATGCCACGCATGCAACATGTGATGCTCACAAGGCCAAAGGCAAGGGTGGTTGCAAACTACCTTGCAACCTTGACTTAGCAGTCTTCGGTGCACCTTGTGTTGATGATTCTTCTATGGGCGCTTACCGTACTGACAATGGGAAAGCAAGGAAAGTGTTTTGGGTGCAGATTTGTTTCTGGCATTTTCATGTTTTCTGCTACTAAGTCTTCTATATATTATATTCAAACAATGTTCTGAATATTTATATACCAAGGTTTCTTTCCCGGTTCCACACTCAGACCATTCCCTGTCCTAAGTCATGTGTGTCCAAGGCGACTATGGCGCATCTCGCCTGGTTGGAGCGTGAATCTAAGCCAGCGCTGGTCATGTCAGAAAATGTTTGCACTGGAAATATTGGCCGGAGAGTATGCGAGGTTCTGAGCAACAGCATGGATTCACAAGCGCCATGCCAACATAATTGTATTGTTGTAGTGCTGGTATGTTTCTTTTATCGCTTATGGCTTTTATAATTTCAGGGTGAACTTTTCCAAATACAATCTAAAGGAAAACCCTGCCATGTACCGCTTGGCTTGCACATGTCCTATGTCATTTGCCTTTGCTTCAGGTGATATTCACAGAACCTGCTGACGCTGGGTGGGGGTGTGTATCACGCAAAAGGGCGTTCACTGTGTTTGTCAGGAGGAGCTCAGGCAGGTTTGTGGGCTCTGCGCAACAGCTTTACGACAAGCTCCGAGAGAAACTATCACGCAAGCAACTGAACATGAATGACTTGCTTTGGGCTGGTGAGGATGTGGTTCAGGAGGAATTGCGGCACCTGTGTTCCTCTTGCAGATATTGGACCAATCGCTCTGAGCAAAACGTGCTAACTGCGTGGGAGATGGACAACAAAAGGCTTTATGAGCAGGCTTTGGACAAAACGGGCAGTGATTTGGACAAACACATTTTTGCAGTGGGCCAGAATCCCAAGCATTTGTGGAAAGCTTCGACGAATGGGATTTTCCCAGCCTTCACTGCCACCGACAAGATTTTGTGGGTGAGGAAGCAAGATAGGCCACTTACAGCACGTGAGAAGTTCTCTGCACATGGCTTCCCTGTTTTGCCAGAGTTAGCAAGCTCTCTGGGAGTAGATGTGCCCTGGCCATGTTTGTAAAGTTTTCTTTTTTTAATCTTGTATATATATATAGGGTAGTGTTAGGATGTTGTGACAGAATACACAATTGTAAGTTGTCCTTGTTGAGCAAAGCCAAACAGAAAAAACGAAAATGATATAGTATATATATAAGTATAAGTGTCATGTCATGTGACCCAGGTATTTGACATGTCTTTGCTGACGCGACCTCACATGGCCGTGGGCAATGGCCAACACCTGGTCTGTGCAGCTATGGCGCTGGCATCTTTTCTAGGATCTGTGCAACTATGGGGGGACATGAAGGAAACGCCACAGCCGGTGCCTGGGCCAGTCCAATTGACAAGGATACCAACACAACCAGATGGACGCTGTTTCTTCACCTGCATGTTTTTGGCCATGAACTGCACTTCCAAGCATCAGAAGCAGTGGATGAATGTGCAGAGAAACAATGTTGGTTTTCCACTCGAGCCTGCCCGAATGGAAGTGGAGGACAAGGGCTTTTGCGCACGCACTGTGTATGCATGTCTACTGCATATGTTCACACATATGAGGTGTGTGTATATATGTATATACATATATACAAATTGATGTATTTATTAGTTTACTGGTGCATATCTCTGAAGCACCTGTATCTCCCAAGTCATGTGCCCACCAGGACAAATTGGTTGCAGAGTGGTTCACGGCGTGGCTGAAGAAGCATGACGATGACAGCCCATTTTCACGGAGCGTGAAGCAAACCTTCAAGACCTATACGACCCCAGGCCCGTCGGCCAAAAGATTTTGCTGCTTGGAGGGAAAACACATGACAAAAATAGGTGGCAGTCTCATGTCATGTGTTACTGCCTGGCATTTGATATGTTTCTGAGGGTTCCTGCATAGATAGGACATTGTAGCTGTTCATGCCGGTAGAATCGGTGTGCATATTTGGTGAATGCTTTTGCGCAGGCGAGGCTGACATTGAATGGCTTGTCAAGAAATTCAATGTACAGTTAGCAATCTATGGGAAAGACCTGGAGCAGCCGATGCAAATCTGCGGGGATGGAGCAGTGACAGTGATGGTCTCCAACGTAGGTGCGCCATGGGCAGCTTTTGTGTCATTTGTCTCAGGTTCTTCACCCGGGAAAGAAATCATTGATGTTTGCTGTTTCATAGCAGTATTTTGCAGCCTTCATCCCAAAAAATCCTTGAAGGTTGCGAAGATGGTGCTGGCCATCATGCAAGCCACTTTGCTCTATTGGTGCCACAAGCAAACCTAGAGATGGATGAGCTGCTGGATGAGCAGGCCTGAATGTCCAAAAGTCTACATCCCATGTCATGAGACCTGTTCCCGTTAGGCAGAGTTGGAGAATACCGAGAACAAGGCTGAGTTTGAGAATGCCAAGAAGACGTTTCCTTACATCGACTTCTTTGAATCTGGGACCGAGTTTTCCTGGGGCGATGATTTCAGGCAGAAGTTCAGAGTGGGGAAGGAGGCTGCGTCAGTCATGGAAGCCGCTAAGATGGCAAATGTCTATGTCTCTGCTGGCAAGTTCAAGCTCAAATCCTTCTCTCAATCATTGAAGAATCTTGGCACTTGCTAGTCATGACATGGGAGTTGGAATGAGATATAAACTACTAGAACATATGCAATATATATATATATTTATTTATTTATTTGGCTTTTGCTTCCTTTGTTCTTCCTGAGCCTGTGTCTTGCTTTCATATTGGCACGCAAGGAAAGACCTGGTCTCCAAGTGCAAAGAGGCAGGCCTATGCGCAACAGGCACTATGGATGTGCTCAAGGGTCGCCTGGTCGGCGCTTGGTTCAAGTCCGCTTCAGCAAAAGAGGTTGGCGCCTATGTCAGAGAGTGTGAAAGCCATCCGCCTTCAAAGCTTGAGGCTAGCAAAGCCCAGCCAGCATCTCAACCGACTGTGGAGCCCGCTCAAGCCTTGCCTGCTCTGGACCCAGCTCTGAAAGTCAACAAGAAATCGGTTACGCTGGATATTTTTGGTTACCGCTCCAAGATTTCAGTGCCTCAAGATGCTCCAACCCTCGTTGATGCAGTCAACTTGTGTGAGCAGCGCAGGCTTGCGGCAGTGAACAAGCACAAAAGCCTGACAACTCTCAAGCGGTGCCTGGGTTGCAGAACCTGCCACAGTCGTAGGAGGTCATGACATGGGACTTTGCTTGGATACAAACAAACGTTCCGCGGGCTTTTTGATGACCATACAACCTCTCAGTCTTCACCCCTGACTCCTTTTGCTTTTCTTACAAGCGTTCAAATCACATGTCATCTTACTTGCATTCTGAGGCCAGAATTGCTGAAGCTTTGTGCTGACAGCTCTTTGAGCAAGAAGGGCAACATGCAGGAGCTCCGGGACCGCCTGACTGCTGAATTCTTGAATTTGGCGACAACAAAAGACATTGAGTATTGGGCACCTGGAAAACCTTTTATTGCCCCAGCTGCCACTACAGCTTCACCTACAGCAGCTCCTTCAAAAGCTCCTGTGCAGCCTGCAGCGCCGGCAGTGCAGCCTGCAGCTACTGTAGAGCCCTTTGCAGCGGCAGCGGATGCTGCAGCCACCGCAGCACCGACAGAAGCAACTGTAGAGCCTTTTGCAGCGGCAGCGGATGCTGCAGCCAACAGTGGTTCTGGTGGGCATGGAGATGGACCAAGTGTGCTGGCAAGTTGTCAGATTGTTTGTCAGCCAGCAGAGAATATGACTGAGGTATTCACAGACTTGGATAAAGGTCCAGCCCTAGGCAAACAGGACTTGGCAGAAACCGCTGCTGAAATCATTGCTGCTGCAGATGTGGTTCTGCCAATTGCAGCGATGGTGAAGATATTTCAGGGTGTACGTGACGATCAAGCCAATGTGGCCTTACTTCTTGCAGGCAAGCCAAGGTATTTTATACTCTATTTGATGTTACTTGTTGTCGTGTTTGCCAACTTAAGTTTTTCAACCACTTTTTGCTTCACTAGTAGCTTGTGCTGTGCCCAATGGGTGCATGACATAGGACAGAGGGCCTTGAGTGGCAAGAAGCTGGTGCGTACTTATGTGGAAAGAGTCATCATGGGCCCTCAAGAGATGTTTAGCTTGGAGACCCTCGAAGATGAACATCTCCAGGAACCAGGCGGTTTGTTGCCCTGGGCAGTATTTCTTGCATGTGGAAACGGCATGGATGTCCAGCATTTCATGCAGCGTCTCCGATTGGAAAACTGCGTGATAGGGAAGCTTGGTGAAACCTTGGAGCAATTGCCTACCAATCTTGTCACCCCGCAGTCTTGGACCCTTCCAGACCTGTTGACCTTGAACCAGCCTGTGGAGGCACGTTTATCAAATCCCGTGTTGTTACGATGAAAAAGGTTCAACACATTGGCACTCCCTGCCAAAGCTATGTGCTATTGTTGTTTCCCGTAGTTGTTGATGCATTCTGCGGAAATCATTGTACAACAGATGACATGTAACATTGGCAGGTGAGGGTCCTCATGAAGGGTAAGTATGCTACACTGGCGCTTGGTTTCCGCTTCTTGCCGGATGAGATGAAAGCTTGCAAGAGGGATGCTGCAGGGATATCCAAGCTAGCCAGGGAGACATCATGTGCGCAAATAAGCCATTCCAAAGATATGGCACGGATTGCAAAGGAGAAAAGGGAAGAACAGCGCAGATCAGGCCTGGTTGGAGAAAAATAGCTCAAAAAGGGAAAAACAAAAGCACATGACATAGGAGGCTGACTAGTGAAACCCAACAAAAGAACCAAACGATCGTTTCTTACATGTATATATCTTGACATTGAGACGTGACCAATTGCATTGTTAGATGATGTTAGATGTATTTTGCTGAGGGAACAGGAGGAGGGGTAGCGTTCTAAAGTCCCATGTCACGTGCGCCGACAGGCGGTGCAGCAAGGGAGCGTTTGGAAGAGAAACTCAACCAAGCATGCAGCAAGTCCACTGAGTTGGAACAAAAGATCCAAAAGTTGCAGCAGGTGGCAAAGAAACTGTCGTCTCAGGAACTTTTGAATGGAGAGAACGTGGCAGGATTTGAATTGATGTCCAAGCTTGGCCTTGACAACGCTGACCCATTTCTCAGTGAAGCTTTGCCAACTATTGTCACCAATGCCTGTGAAGACTATCCAAATCAGGACGGTGAGCCTTTTGCAGGTGATTTTTGGAATAGACCCGTGCCGGCGCAGGCTCTTCTGCAGTACACGTATTTCTTTCTGAAAGATATTCAGGAGGCATACAAGAAGACTAGAGAGAAGTACACCAAACTGCAGGCCCAGTTTGCCAAGCTTACTGACAAGCTTGATTCTACCAAAGCCAAAAGGAAGCAACATGCAGAGACGGGGCTCAAGAAGGTCGAGAAGAGCAGACAACCTGATGCGCGTGAACTTCACTTGGCAAGAAGGAATCAGATCAACAGGGTCAGAAGAGGTGTCAAGAAGCAGAAGAAAGTCAGACCAGAGGAGTCACTTTCAGAGGCGCGTAATTAGTGTGAATCCCATGTCATGTGCCCCTGAATATTATGAGCATCTGCAGGCTTCCTTGTGTTTCCGTCCGTTTCTTCAGGCAACGATGCTATGTGTTGCAACTTCTATTTACATTGCGCTCAGGTACCAAAAGCACGGAGAGCACTCACCATCTACCAAAAGATGCAAATTGTGAAGTATGCAGATGAGGTGGAGCAAAATATCCCAACTCTAGAGAAGAGACATCCAGCAGCCAGAGCAAGAGGCAAGGTGGCTTCTGACCAGGTGAGATGGATTAGGAAAAGAAAAAAGGGAATTGACGTGCAGGCTCTTTGCAGGCTCAAGTTTGGAAGTCTGCTTGGCGGAATCAAGGTCTGCGTGTTGCGCAAGCGTGCGCGATTGCAGAAGTGGTCTTTGCTGACGGAGGCACAACAGCGGAGCATGTTCAGTCTAACGGATGAAGTGAAACAAAGCCTCAAGCTTGGCGCTGACACCATCAAGGGCTGACGGGCCTTAGGAGAGGGAGATACCACAGAAATGATCAAGAGAAAAGGAACTGTGCAAAGGTGGAAGGTCCCAGGAGCGATTCTTCAGGAGCCCCGGGAAGTGGTTGATAGTGCAGATGACATGGGATGCAGGCAAAGATACAAATATACATATCTATATTGTCCTTCCTTGGAATTCCACTCATAGTGTTTTGGCAGGAGATGGACAAAGCTCTCGTTGAACATTGTCAAGGGCTTTCCACTCTGTGCCAAAGACGAGACAGAGTTTTGGTCCGGCATTTAGCACGGGACTCAGATCACAGTTTTGCAGAAAAGTTTTGTGAACCGTTTCAGATGTGAATAGAAGCTGATTAGTAAAGATGCATTAACTGTCCTATGTCATGTGTTATCCCTACCCTACCTACCCTACCCTACCCGTACCCCACCCCTACCGGATGCAATTGTTTGTGGGGTTAATCTCCATCAAGGTAGTGACTGCCAACCGCTTGGCCAGGGAGTACAACGAGGGACTAGCCTGTGCCAAAGAACAAGTCGATGTTCACAACCTAGAGATGAAAGAGGAACTTCTGAAGATCGGTGCTACTAAAGCCACCATACAGCGGTGCCTCTTGCCAGAGCCTGAAGAGTGCCCGATTCTGGACGCACGGTGGTGCAGAAGGTTTTTGCATTTGATGCAATGGAAGCACCGACCGGTGAATACTTCCGGCACGTATCTTGAGTGGAACGACCCACGCCTTGCCGCAAGCAGGAAGAGGATTCACGAGCACATCGCAAATGGCGTTCACAGGTATTTAATCTTGAACGTGGATCAGGTGTGGAGGCAATCACTGCGTCCAGGTAAGAGTGTTCTGATGAAGAAGAACAACCGTCTCTTGGTTGCGTATAAGGCAGAGTAACATTTTGGGAGCTCCTACTCATTCTGGCTATATATATATACTGGAGGCAAGTGACTGAGGTTTTGTAACTCCTCAGTCATCAGCGTTGGGAAATGATCAGGAGAGGTAGCTAAGAGCTGTCTATACCTACCTCCTACAATCATCAAACATCCATCGAAATTGAAACTTTTAAAAGTTTCTGATTTCGACTATTTTTTTATGGCTAAGTCCTATCTCATCTGCTAGCCCCAACTCCTCAGTCACTTGCCCCCAGTATAATGCAGCTTGCTGCCGTCTCAAACATGGGGTCCCATGTCATGTGACTAGTGATTTACTTGTTTGTAATTCGAACTGTCAGAGATGCTGTTTCCACTGACCTGCCACAAAGAGGCGAGAAGCAGCATGGCGGCTTGATAGCCCGAAACGACACCGTGACAGGAAGCAGGCTGTCACTGACAGCAGTCACAAGCTCTTGGAGCGATGGCAGCCCAGGACCTCTTGGACTTTGTTACCCAGCCACTATGATCCCAAAGGCACAGGTTGAAGAGTTCAACCGCAAACACCGCTGTTCTCCTCTGAACGCAGAACCCACTTTATGAATGGGGAAAATTGGGTGGTACTTCTGAACCAGCTCTACACAGACGCTTTTTCAGTACAGCGCGCCAAGCATGGATTGAGCAAGGCCAATGCAGGCTTATTGCTTTGTGACGCGTGGACTGGATACCACTCCAAGAGCACAGGTTTGGATGTATCAAGAGAAGCTTGGTCTCGGAGCGTCAACTGCGTGCTGCCGGACGAACAGCCTGGCGGCTGGTCGTGTTGTGCCCAACCGGTCGACCAATTGCATCACATCTACCGGGCACGGTTGGATTTAGCTGATGCATCAGAGTGTGGATATGTGCCAGACCTTCGATCTCGACCTTGCTACTCATCCATGCCGGTCAAGGCTACGGGCCAAGTTGGCCAAAAGAAGCTGGATGCCAAAAGCATGCCTGATCGCAGTTTGCTGGCTTGGAAAAGCATGTTACTTGGAGCACGTGTCATATGACATGGGACACATGTGTGAGACGGCGCACTGAGTAGGTTCTTTGTTGGTCTCTGTTCTGTACCCGTTTCCTGCATTTGTTCCCAACTATATATACATATATACACATTGTAAAGCCATTTCCAGAAGTGGAAGCCTTCCACCGGCCCTAGATGAAACTCCTCACAAGAAGAAGCGGAAAACGTGCCCCGCTGTCTACCTATATACTTCCAGCTTCTTTTTCTATTACACAACCGCTTTTCCCAAGTAAATAGTTTTGCAAAGATGACATGGGACTCTGAGTAACGGCCTAACTGCAGCATGGACAGCTGCTAAATAGTTTTGCATAGGTCACATGGACTTACTAGTACTGCAGCTTTTTTTACTCAGGTGTTATTTCATCGACTGAGGCCTCTGATTAAAGGCTTTGCTCTAAATAGTGTGGCATAGATGACATGGGACTCTGGCGTGGATTTCTCTATTACAGTATTAGATTGTACTTCAGCTATTCATACTCAGCTGTGCCATTTCATCGACTAAGGCCTCATAAGGTTTTTGCTGCAGCTTGGACAGCTGCTGGATACTTCGAACGTGATCACTACCCAGATTTTCCTGACATGTCTCACGCAAATGCCTTGGCTACCTTGGATCCATCTGGGATGCTGCGGTGCTGCGGTGTTTTGAACGACATTGTAGAAGTTCCTCCCACTTCTAGGTTGCTGTGGGCTGTGGTTCTTGATGATGGCGGGCAGGCATACTTGCCTCTTGCCATTGGCGTGGCAGTAGAGCGGCTCATTTGCCAGCACAGACGTGACCGGAAGCTCCTAGCTGACAAAAAACCTGCAAAGTGGGAAGCTAAGCTTCATCAGGTCAACACTAGACAGATGAACGTGCACTATGACAAGAAGAAACGACAGATTGCCACTCCAAAGCAGGTCAAGAACCAGAGCAAGTTTTTGGAGGTGCTGACCATCATCATGGAACTACAGGACTCAACCATGCCAGGAGGACCAGGTACTTACTTTATCTTTGGAGAGCACTACAGCAAAAAGAAGCTAGTGCTGCTGAACGCCAAGGACTCAGTTTCTGGGTTGGAGATGCTCCAGGATGCCTATAATGGAGGCCCAGGGGCTACAGGGTTTGGCCAGGGTGAAAACGTGGGTCCCATGTCATGTGATGTTGGGCCTCTGTACACAAAGTGTGCACTGTACACAATTTATACATAAACCAGTTTGGCACAGGCGGCCCCCAAATAGATATATATATATATATATGTATATAAACATTTGTCGATACCTTTTGAAAGAGGTTTTACTTTTCTATCTATCTGGGGGTCTATATAGGTGGCTGAGTCCCATGTCATGTGAGCTAGTGCTTATTGCGTAGAGTGAGTGTGCACTGTATACCATACGTATGTGTTTCGCTCTGGACAGGTGATGAATCCGAGGAAGAGCAGCAGCTCAGTGAAGATGAGGACAGTGAGAGCGATCATGGCCATACGCAGCCACCTGCTGGGGCTGTTCCGGTTCATCACAATGATGGAAGAGAGCATGATGGTGATGAATCAGACAATGATGGCTGCAGCACTGGAGTGAGTGAAGCCAACACGCAAACGGATGAGCTTTGTGAAGAGCTTTCTGATGCTGGCGAGGGAATGGAGGAAGCCACTGGAGGTTCAGAGGAAATGACTGGTGGAGTCACTGGTGGGGAGGGTGCTGCAGGGCGCGTCAAAAAGTTCCATCTCAGTGAGGTGTGGAAAAGGCTGGAAGCATTGTCTAAGAAGGATGGCTACAGCTACACTGCGCTTCCTTTGCTTGTTGGCCTTGGAGTCCACCGGCACGCTTCAGGCAATTTCTGGTCTGCTCGTTTTCCTGGCGAGCCGTGGTTTACTTGCAGATTGGGTGAGGCCAGGGACGAATTCAATAGCCTCTTGACCATCCTCAGGCATGTCATCAAATTGTACATCAGAACTGCTCCAGCTGACAGACAGTCATGGGAAGTGCACTTGGAAAAGCTGAGTGCGCTCCGAACATGAGGTTCTTTCATTCCATTTAGCCATTGAAACCCTTGTATATATGTCCTATGTCATGTGCCTTTGTGGAGATCAGCTGGAGTGTCCACAAACAAAGTTACAATCCCTTGGCTGCTGGATAGAGTCCAGTGAAAGTTGTTTTTCAACTGTTGTCTATATATGTTTCCTGTGTTTATGTACATAGCTTTCTGCAAAGTTGCTGTTCTTTTTGTGGTTGTTTGGACTTGTCCTGTAGAAAGCCAGTGCATGGAGCCCAGACACACATTGAGGCCGGATAGGTCCCATGTCATGAGGCATAATGAGAAATCCTTGGCTGCTGGATATAGAGTCCGGTGAACGTTTTTCAAGTGTTGTTTGTTCTTCCTTTGTTTTTGTATGTATATATATAGCTTTCTGCAAGGTTGCTGCCTTTTTGGGGGTTGTTTGGACTTTTCCTGTAGACAGCCAGCGCGCGGAGACCTCATACAATGAGGCCGTACAGGTCCCATGTCATGAGGCATAGTGAGAAATCCTTGGCTGCTGGATGGAGTCCGGTGAAGATTTTTCAACTGTTGTTTGTTCTTCCTGTGTTAATGTACATAGCTTTCTGCAAAGTTGCTGCCTTTTTTGGGGGGTTGTTTGGACTTGTCCTGTAGACAGCCTGCGGTTGGAGACCTCACACAATCAGCCTGTACAGGTCCCATGTCATGAGGGATTTGCTCTAAATGTGCTTGATTAGAGTTGATTAGACAAAGATCTTCATCACGATGTCCGTGATCCACTCCCACAAATCCCCAGCTTCTGGAATGATTCTAGTGATATCTGCACAGGTGCTGCAGTTCATTCCAATTCTTCAGCATTAGCGCATGACCATGGAGACAAGACGCTAGTGGAAGTGTTGGAAGAAAAAGGGCCTCTACCGTGGCACCGTGGAAGCGTTTCTTTCTGGAGAGAGACCACTGACAAAGGGAATGTGGAAAGTTTTTTGAACCTTGCCGTAAACCCATGTCATCTGTTTTTGATGACTTTGGACCATATTCCAGACCCATGTCATCTGCTCAGACTGATGCTGGAAAGTACCCATGTCATCT